TTTTCACCCTCCTCTTTCTAGGGCTAAAACTTCCTTCAAATTCGAGCTTTTGCGACGTAGTGATTTGATTTGAAAATTCAATATCCTCTCTCTAATCGTGGCTAAATTTTCATCGAAAGTTAATTTATTAGAAGTTTTGCACGTTGTTACTTTTTTCTGGTCAAACGCGACTTTTTTACCTTCAAACGATCATAACTTTGTTCAATGTCATTCATTCGGGAAGCTGAACAGGTATAACAAACTACAGGCTTCAAGCTTTCTAACGACCTCTTAAACGTCCCTGAAAAAGCAGTGGTTCAAAAATTAGTCCCGTTGTTACTTTTTTTCTGAGGGGTAGTCTTTAAGCCATTTTCTTGAGAGCGCGGGTTTTCTTAGGTTTCACTGCCCGTAACTTCTTGGGAGACCAATTTCATGCTTGATTTAGGATGTGCTAGAACGCGTCCAGCGTGCGTTTGCACTACATCCCTCGCCTTAGTGCGCGCCACGCCTCGGGCGCCCTTCTGATTCGCTGATTCATTTGAAAGCTCATTCAGAAGGAAGCGTGGATTAGAGATGCTCTAGTATCAGTCATTTTGCGTGAACGTAAATGCTGGCTACTGATTCCACTGCCGGCCATCGACAGAGTACGACCCCCTCCCCCTCAAAGTCCATCCAAGTACGACCCCGCCGTTGTTACTCGTAACAACGTAGGGTTGACCTTGCTCCCCGCCACATGTCCATCGCTCGTGACTAGGGAGCCTGTGTAACGTCAGAACACGCATTTCACCAGAACACTTTTATTGGATATGTTACCTGAGTGACCGAATGTTCCACAGGTTCTCTATTTTCGGAAAGCCTACCATTCTGTGCGCGAAATAGCGTGTGGAGCAAAACTGGTACTTCACAAATGCTTTATTTCGCTTTCGCTTTACCTCAAATCTTCAATCGTGAGTGGGCCGTCTTCAATCAGATCACACACATGTAGACTAATAATATGATCCTGCGCCAGTGAGTTATACACGATAGGCGCCATCACACAATGACTTTGAAAGTTCCCGCCTTGAACGTGCAAAACGAAAACGACTACTCCAAATGTTTCGCCTATCACGGCTAGGAAGTGATTTTGCCAATCCTGCTTGATGTACGACGCCAGTGTCATGGAGCAAGTGGCCCGGCACAGTTGGCCAAATCACCAGGGATTGGCGATAAGGGTTGTTGCGCCTAGGGGGACACGCGTGCACGCTGTTCCTGCTGGGCGTTCCTACCGGGCGCGCTTAGCTCGCGCAAAAACCGAGGGCCCTCGCCTCCCTGCCAATTTTTGGAAGGGTCCTGCGGGGCCGCAAAAGTCTATGAAGACCGATGGGAAGCTACGTTGTGCTCATGTTCACTGAGGCTGTCACTTTTTTGTCAATTTGGTACGAGTTTTGAAATCAGATGACCCCTCAAAGGGGTACCACGCCAATCCATTGAGCCTTTTGCTCTTTGGCTTACTGCTCTTTGGCTTACTTGCGCTCAACAATCGGAACCCGAGAGATTTAACGGGTTTGAAGACGTGGGGGTGAGGGTGACGGAGACAGACACCTCATAATTCACACGTATTCACTGAGCGGTTCCTGTGAAATTCCCAACAAAAATGATGTGCAATGATGTGCAATTTGCATGATGTGTAATCTGTCATCGTCGTAGAGCTTGAGGAGACCTGCCGTAACTGCTTCAGCCTGAAAGCTCTTCCACAATATCTTGAATCGATTCACTGTTGATTATTTGAATAGTTTACTAGAGAATTCGGCTCTGACTATGTAAACCCCCTCAAACCCGCTTTTCAGTAGACGTTGTTGCGGATGTCCAATTTACTAAAAAATGAAAGAGAAGCAAAGGAAACCGTCGACGGAGGCCAATTTGAAAACCCCTTTAAAGGAAGGGGTGGGGCCGGACGAGTTGTACGAACTTGCCTGCTCCACGGCTCAACATCCGCATGTTTTTGGATCAACTGCTACGGCGTAACCCACGTGGCGTCTCATGGCGAGTGGGCGGCGTAATTTGTCCAACTGCTAAGATTAGTAGCCAAATGCTGACTTCGTAAAAACCCAGCGCCATTGTCGCGCACATTTTAAGCCGCCGAGGACATTTGTGCTATTTGTGGGCTATTCTATTCCAACCTCTGAAAAGATTTTTCGACACGACTTGTGGTGGTGGTGTTGCTTTAATTTTGTGCTGCACCTCTTAACAACTCTCCATCCATTCCTAGGGGCGACTCATTTGCCGCACAATTTGTCTTCAAGAGTGCTTGGCTTTTAAGGCCAGCGAGTTGCGGTGCGTGGCCCGGACAGAATCGACAGGACCTTGGGCCTTACCTGCGCAGAATTGTGTCAATCAATCCCATCTCAAATCTCTTCACGCTACGGATTCCACCGCTGATTCCTGCACTGCAGACTGATGGTGAGTGCCCACTTTCAGACTCGGAGAAGCTGCAAATGGATGAGCTCGCCGACACTGCGCGTGTTTAGTATTACTCTACCCGACAACTCTTGTCCATGAATGGCGGAGAAAGCTCAAGAAGAGCTCCCACGCTTTCCTTATAATAATGAAGGAGGGCGTCGGGGAAGTATGGGCGCCACACGAGGCAACCCCAACTTAGTCCAAGGAACCGAGTTGTGGCGTTTCCAAGGCGAATGGTGCGCTGGTTGATGAGCAGGATGGTACATTTGGAAAATACTTAGCGTGGACCTGTAGAGGTAAAAAAGCTTCTAGTCCCACTCCTTCCATTCCCAGCACTGATCATGCGTTAATTCAGTGCCATGGAGCGTTACATGAAAAAGGTGACAGGATTATCGTGAAAAACAATTTCTAGCGATTCACTCCAACGGAGTTACGGTGTTGTTTTGAGTAAAGAATAAATGTCGATAACACTGAAGATTGACCAATTTATGTCGAAGGAGCTTGGTGACAAGTCTTCGTTCGATATTAAGTCGCAAGAATTAAATCAGTGAACGGAATCGCACCAACGTCAACCCTTTATTCAGCTCAA